ACACACACACGCACACACACGCGCGCGCGCACACACGCACACACACGCGCGCACGCACACACACGCACACGCACGCACACGCACACACACACGCACGCACACACACACGCACGCACACGCACACACACGCGCGCACGCGCAAACACACGCACACACACGCACAAACATGCACGCACACACACAAACACGCACACACACACTCGCACACACACGCACACACGCACAAACACACACGCACGCACACACACGCACGCACACACACACGCACACACACGCACACGCACACACGCACGCAAACGCACGCACACACACGCACACACACGCACACACACGCACACGCATGCACACACACGCAGACACACACGCACACGAACAAGCACACACACGCACACACACACACGCACGCACACACACACAGACATGCATGCACCCACACGCACACACACACACGCACACGCACGCACAAACACGCACGCACACACGCACGCACACACACACGCACACACACGCACGCACACACACACGCACGCACACACGCACACACACACGCGCACACGAACACGCACGCACACACACACGCGCATGCACACACGCACACGAACAAGCACACACACACGCACACACGCACACACACGCACGCACACACACGCACACGCACATGCATGCACACACACGCAGACACACACGCACAAAAGCCAAAAGTAGGGAAGGTTAAACTTACGTCCAGCAATTAATGCTTCAGTGTTACATCTTATTTGGAAATGATCTAGATATTCAACAAATATTCATCACTTAATTTAACTTGGTATAAGTTTAAGGTTTTAAGGTACTGAGCACACACAAATCAAGCAACCAAAGTGTGTTTCCTGTACTCTTACTCAGCAACAATCAACGCAGAAGAATTCTGCGACCAGATGTGGGGGGTTCCCCGTTCCTCACTAAGCAGCGATTCAGCAGCCGACACCAGCTGGGTGTCCTCCGGTTCAGTTCAGTTCCGACACTGTCTAC